CAAAACGACAGACGTTGCCATTGTTCTCATAAAATGTAGACGGTAATGTGAGTTATAATATAGTAATACATTTGACGTTTGAAATATGCTGACGTAAGCGTCTGGTTACCAACAATAAAATACTATGTAAAAAATAAATGCATACAACAGTGATTATTACTGTACGGCGAAATCTTTGATGTTTAAAATATGCTTAGCTAAGCGTCTGGTTACCCATGATAAATTTCTTAGAATTTATTATGCCAAAACGAGAGAGGTTGTCTTTGTTCTTATAAAATGTAGACGGTAATGTGAGTTATAATATGGCGGTGCCTTTGATGTTGGAAATATGCTTACCTATGCGTCTGGTAGGCAATGATAAAAATTCTTAGAAAACGTTTTAGTTTAACTTGGATTCATCCCCACCCATTATAGGTTGGTTTATGTTATGTTTCGTTACCCCTTTCCTGTATAGGAATTGTTGATGAAGACTTTGTAGCGTTAATATTAAGTAAATATGTTAAAGTGGCAACGGCGGCCACTATTTGACGTACACTATTTCAATGTAATGTGTATGTTTACACGTACTTTTATCAGTTACCGTTATCAGTTCACATGAGGTTTACCTTACCCTCCAGTAGATGACATCGTAGGAGGAGACAACCATTTCCGAATGGCTACCTACCCCACCACTGACATGAAGTTATAGTGCGCATGCGCACTTTAATCCCCATTTTAATTGACCTTAACGCCCCCACCTAAGTTACCTATTACCCCCACTATCGTGAGACCACGGCTCCCTTACCCAATCATTGATAAGACCACGCCACCCATAACCCCACCATCATAAGACCACGCTTCCTTTCACTATCTTTGATAAGATCACGCCTCCTCTTACCCCATCATTGATAAGACCACGTTTATTGTATGACCTTGACCACGGTCATTACCTCCCCACCATGGTGAGAGCACTCCACCCCCCTCCCACATGTATGATGAGACCACGCCACCCCTTACCACCATCATTGATAAGAACACACCTCCTCTATGATAAGACAACGCCTCCTCATACCCCACCATCGAGAAACCACGCCCACTGTGTGACCTTGACCACGGTCAATACCCCCACCATTGAGAGACCACGCCTCCCCTTGACCTATCATTGATAAGACCACGCCTCCCCCTTACCCCCACCAACGAGAAACCACGCCCACTGTGTGACCTTGACATTACCCCCACCATTGAGAGACCACGCCCACTGTGTGACACGCCCCTCCCCCGAACACGCCCACCCACCAGGCGGTGGGTATGTGAAGGGGTGAGGCGGGGGGGGCCTAGAACTCTCTATTTTACCCTACTTATGTATATACATGTTAATCTGACTATTGTATGCTATACATCTTATCTTAAAATAACTATCATGTTATGTTCAATTTAATACAATAAATTGAGAATCACTAAAAGTGCTGATGACAAAAACCCATTATGGGGGTAATTAAAAATAATATAAAAAGGCTTAGTTCTCCTTGTACATCAGTGAGCGAGCGGCTCTCTCCGTTTTGAAGATCTGAATTCAATAAAGAATTCAGAATTCATCTATCTGATTTATTGTGTTGTCGTCGGTACATTTTAAAACAATATCGAATACAATTATTTTGCGTCAATACTTTATTTATTTATTTAAAAAGAACAGTATAAATCTAAACGTAAGATATCTAAAAAAGTAAGTAAATTCGTATTAACCCAATTATTTAGAATTAATAATCTGAGTAATGAATGGTAAAGCAATAGATTTTTTAAACATCATTTAATTTAATTATTAATAGCTAGTTAGTGCTTGGTCATATACTTCGACTGGGTGTCTGAGAGGAGGCCTCCGCCTCTCCAAGAACGCCCCAGTATTCCCACTAAAGCACATACCAGTTAACATCACGTTTCGACTGGGTGTCAGATAGGAGGCCAAGATCCTCAGAAGAAGAATACCTCAACGTTTAATACCTCTATGAGAGGAACTTAATACATATCTTTTTATATCTAGTTGTCTTTACTGTTCTACCCTCGGACTCTACAACCCCGATAGAACCTCGTTGCTCCTGAATTGACCAAATCCCCAAATATCCAACCTTGATCAAAAATACCAAACATCATGTTTTTTATTTTTGTATTACTACAAATTATAATATTATATCGATAGAAAAGCCAAATATCGTAAAACTTTTACTCAAAATTGCTTATGTTGTAAAAATATTAATTTATACTTCATTATAATTGTTTTGTAATCACCTATATTGTTGCTGTATTTATCTTTATTATTTAATGTTATTTTATCAAAAACTTTTTCATAATGATAACCTTCATGTAAACCCAAATGTATAAAACAGTTGTATAACGTTTCCACTGCAATAGACCAATTTTGGTCAACTTTTTTTTGTAGTTTCTCGTCATTTAGAATCATCTGCAACTCAATTTTGTATGATATAAGTTTAGTAAAGTAATATAATGTGTGATTTACTAATAAACACAGTATTTACATTAAATATATTGAATTATCAAGTATATCTATGTGTTTTAATTGCTCTGACCTGTGGTTCTGTAGCAGCAAATAAATGTAAGTTGAAATCATCAAAACAATTATCTGAATTCTTAAAATCCTTAAATTCTAGTGTATTGTCTTTTCTTCCCCAAGAATAGAATTTTATTCTAACATTTCCACTCAAATTAAGCGGCTTAAGTTTATTTGAGCACATATCTTTTACCGATGTATTTATATAGTTATCGAATATTTCTGAAAAAACTCTCTGCTCTGAAAACAAATTACCAACTTGAAATATTTTATCATTCATATTAAGCAATTTAAAATGTAATTATTTTAACAGTTACAAAACTTATTGAAAATTGCATATTAATTACACTTAATGTATGTTAGTAATTACTTCTAACATAAATACCATAATTATGTATAAATGACTATTTCCCAAGAAATATTTTATTTACCGTTATGTTTTCTGTAATTTAGATATAAATTATATTTTTTAAAACAGTCATACAATTCTTTTTTGGCATTTATCAAATTTGTATTTGCAATAGTTTTAAGGATTTCCAATGTTGACGATAAAAATACCTACACAATCCAAAAATATTTATTTTAGTTTTAAATGATATATTTTTTTTATTTACACATAATATGCATAAATTACTACATGTTTATTATTATATAACATTATTAATGAGTCTTAAATATGTTAACCCTTATGAGTCTGAAATTTTATAACCTTACTATAAATTAAATTTACTTTTATAACTCAGATCTCCAACAATATTAAACATTTTTCCAACATGTATCATTATATTACGTAAACATGCCAAACACATTTTAGAATAAAAACACATTATATATTGTTTAACTCATTCAATGATTCAGGGCTGATTTTTAATTTTTCCTTTAATTATAACTTCTTATGTAAATAACTAATACTTAATTTATAGAATTTATATAAATAGTATCTGCTAAAAACACTGATAAGTTTAGGTTTCTTAATAATTTTTTCGAAATAAAAATAACATTCCTCAATACATTTAAAAAAATATTTAACTCTGAGTATTAAGTATAATCTATTTTATGATATAATAAATTTTGTCAAAAATCTTACAGGTAAAATCAACAATTGCAGTAGTATCTTCTTCATTTTTTCTGATATAACTGAATAATAAATTTTAAATAATATTAATTATAATTTTGATAAAAATGCGATACTTTTATTCTTAAGTTTATATCTTTAAATAGGAATGTATAATTTTTAAATAAATATTTTCTGGACTCTTTTCAAAAATAAATACTTACGTGACTTAATAATTGTAAATGTAATGATTTTTCAAATTAATTTATATCCCAATTTGTTTACTCAATTTGCTATTTTACTTGAACAATATGCGTTTTTAAAATCAGAATTGTTTTATATATCTAATGAAATATGTACGTGTACTAATTTTTTTCGATTTAGTGAATGCAATAATAATTTTTAAATAATATATTTAATCAGCTTGTTTTCAAAACATTGCTAAAATGGGAAAAGATTATTGAGCAAAAAAAAAATTTAACTGAAATTCAATTTTCTTTATTAGTTTAAAAACTGTAAAATTTACTCTGTTAAAATTATAATTATGAATATCAGGGATTTTATTTATATGTATTATATATATATAATATATTATACTTCTAAAAAAATTGAGAAATGCTTAATTGAAGTACCAGTTAATTAATAGACAAAAATTTAAGTGTTGGCCAGGCACGGATACAAGTGTCGTGATATGCTTAATACTTTGCATTACGCATCTCACAATTATCAATGAAAAAAGTATAATCTGTATTTTAAATAACTTGTAAACAAAGACATAATTTATCTGTCATAACAAATACAATGTTCAACACAATTTCTTATTATATACATATATGTCAACTCATCTATTGTTAACTATGCTATCAATATAATTATCATGTAATGTATACTTTAAAACAATAAAATATAATCATGAATAACACAGACGGCAATATCCCTGGATATGGGGGTACCTCTTTAGTACTATAAAAAGCACTGATATCCATTGAAAAGACAGAGCCACGTCTAGAGAGAGCTACTGCCAGAGCCACAGCTCCAGTAAGCTAATTCTTTCCTGCGAACTACTCTTGCTATTACATTTTGATCACGGCTCCGTGCTGCCGTTTGAGTTATTTTATTTTATTTACTTTATTTGTGTTTAAAACTTATTTTGGTCTACAAAGACATTTTTACCACAAATAAATAATATTGAGTGAAAATTTACATTTCTGGTAAATACTTCATTTATCTTCTTGGACATCACAAAATACGAAGGTAAGTCAATTTATATTATCTCATTTATTTAAAGTTAATAATCTGAGTAAAGAACGATAAAGCAATAGTTCTATAATCTCCTTTTAACATCAAGAGCTATTTTGCTAGTTTGTTCACACCTACTACATGTACACGTTATAGGGTCTCGAGGGTTTGATTACCGCCCCGTGCCTAAAAAGAGTTTAAAAACCTAATGTGTATCTGATTATATTAATAGACACTTCGATTGGGTATTCGAGGGTCGGATTACCGTCCCGTTACCTCATTGTCCTATTAAAGGTGTTTACAAGTTTATTAGCTCATATTCCTCAAGTAAGAGGACATGCTTTTATTTCTTCATATCTACTTGTCTTTATTGTTCTAAACCCTCGAACCATACGACCCCGATAGAACCAAAACATCAGGTTCTCACTAAACCCATCAACCATTCATTCATTTTCATTATTTATGTTTTACCAACTTTTTGCCTTTTTATTTTTTTTGAATTATAACAAAGGATCCCCTCTAATTCTACTGTTTTAGCAAAAAATTTAGTAATTATATTACTTTGAGAAAAAATATGTCATAAATGTTATATATATAAATTTGAAAATTGTTTACAGTTTATAAAAAACATTTTATAAGATATTAGTATAAATTGTTTAGTAGATAATTTTATTTATAGTTCAGAAATTTCTAATCGCATCGACTGATAACATGTAAGCGGCAATCGCTAATAACAATTCGTTATCATTAGTACTTTTTCGTCTTTTGTATATTTTTGGATTTACATGCGTAATAGATTTTGTTTATAATTTGTATATAACTAGCATAAAAAATAAATGTAATGAATGGAATTATTTATGTATCTTGATTATAAAGTTTTTTGTGTCAAAAAGTTGATTTAGCTAAAAAATGTAAAGAAATGTTTATTATTTACTATACATATTATTTCGATAGATCAATTAAATCAATAACCAAAAACATAAATTATTATCTGTAGCGTAAAATTTAACCAAGCACACACATGAGAGCAAAAAAGTAAATACATGAAAATTCAGGAAAAGATTATTTTTGAGTTAAAAGAAAAATAGAACAAAATGTTTGCCCACTATCGCATTGGTTTAAAAACTTTTTTATATTTTTCTTAATATTGTCTTAAGAAAACTAATCAATGCACCTCCTTATATCTCTAATTATACACTTCATAACGACCTTAACTTAAAAATAGTCTATGAAGAAGCCATCTCCTACTATAAAAGATTCCACAATAAATTACTCTCCCACTCTAAGCCCCTAATAAAAAACCTCTCAACCTTGTCCATACCTGGAGACCCACCCTGATGTTTAAAACGTAAGTGGTGCCGTGATCTTCTTTCTAATATTATCAATTAATAATAATATAATTAAGTCATTGGAAATATAAAATAAAAATTCTAGGAAAATAAAAAATTAAAAAAATCATGAAAAGTGTCACTAATGAGTGGTTTCTTCCATCAAAATGTATTCATGTAAATTTTTCTACTCTTATCATATATGCTTATTGTGCTCATTGTACAGATTGTACATTTCTAAAAAAAAAATATTTGTCCATTTTTTCTTGAGAATTTTATCAAAAAAAATCAAATGAGACATTTTGAAAAAATAGTTTTTTTACTTAAAAATTAAAAGAAACTATGAATAAATTAATAAAGATCAAAGAAGCATTTTTTCTTAAAAGAACATTAATAATCAAGAAGTTATCCCTAAAATCAATAATTTTTTTGAAGTATAGTATATAATTAAATTTTAATAAGTAAATTTTTACAAAAAAAATTCATTATTTAAACTAAAAATAGGTTGTAGTATGCCTAATAAATCACGCTGTAAATACGTATTTGTGTCATAAATATATTTTTTAAGTATTTTCAAACACACAGTGATGTAGGTGTCAAAAATGAATTATTGTATAGCGTAGGTGGTAGTTTTAGAACTTTTATTCTTGTGAAAATAAAATATTATTATAAAAGATATTCCGTCACTGTTTGCTCTATTACTATTTATAATGTATTTTTTATTTAAATTATTATTATTGCACATCTTTCATTGTCATCTGTTAGAATCAAAATTAAATTATGAATAATATAATTCATACATTTTAAATGGAGTTTATTTTTTTTTTAACAACATAAATTATGAAATCACTTTTTAGAATTGTTCTAAAATAAAAAACAATTATAATTTTAACGCGTATTAAGTTAAATTAATTATTAATAATATTTAAATTACAGTTAAAATACTATTTTCTTAAAATTAAACAGTTATTCTAGCTTTTACTCTTTTTTTACTCTTTTAGGTATCGTAACTCAAAACTTAATAAAATAAAAAGAGAAGAATGTGACGTGGTTAAAATTGAGAGTGAGAGTTACTTTTAATTCGAGGGTCATAAAATAATATTAGTGTTAACTCTTATAGATTTCAAATTTTTCTCTGTTCTTAAAAAAAGTTCAGTAACAGTATTAATAATTTGATAAAAACAGTAACACTAGTTTGACTTTTACTTCACAAATTAATACGCGAGAATTTCAACAATGACAATCACGACATTCGAGTNAAGAATTTCGACAATGACAATCACGACATTCGAGTAACGTTGTCCAGATCACGATTAGAACAGAGACGGAGTAATGATTTGCTCTGCCTTTTCATAATACTTTTTACCCCCAAAAATCACCATTGTCTTATCCTTATAGTACAACTGTTTATTGATATGTAAGCATAAAATACGGAAATTATTACAGATATCTAGAATATATAAATCATTTTGACATTTTATATATACAGAGTGATTTTATTTATCATAAGCCACTGAATTACTTACAGAATAATAATAATTTTAACATTTTTTTTTTTTTGGTTATCTTTAGTTACACAATATTCTTGAATAATTAAATATGTAATATTTTTTAAGTTCATCTCTCATGCCAAGCAGCTAATTAGTTTTTTATGACATCGATATTAGCAAGTATACATCATTGTTATTATCAATGGTAGTAAGGCACATTGTTTTGAGTTAATAAATACATTAACTGACAACACAGAAAGTACATCTATTGTAGTCATAATTGATAATAACCAATCAGTAACTGCGACAGCAATGTCATAAAAACTAATTAGCTACCTGTATTTGTAATCCCTTGTGTATTATATTAACTCAAAAATTTGAAACTTTAAATGTTTATATCTAATAAACAAATAAAGTTTTATTAAACATTTAAATGCTATTTACTATTAAATTAAAAACTCAAACATTTTATTAAATTAAAAATATGTGTTACCATTTAAAAAAACAAAGTTGTCACCCTTACCAGGCATAAGAGATGAACTTAAAAAGTATTACATAGTTAATAATTCAAGAATAATGTGTAACTAAAGATAACCAAAAAAAAAAAATTGTTTAAATTATTATTATTCTGTAAGTAATTCAGTGGGTTATGATAAAAAAATCACTCTGTATATATAACATCAAAACAGTTTTTTTTCACATGTATAATTAGGGTCTATAAAATTCATTTAATTATTAAAATTATAATAAAAAAAAAGAGATGACAAAAATAATTTGTAGATTTCTTTTTCATAAGAAAATATTTTTAAAGTGTCTATTAATTGATTGATGATTGAATCATGTGTATTACAACATAACTAAACACTATGCGTTTATTGACTATTTCTCTTAAATGTTTATTTTAATTTTTTGTTTAAAAAGGTTTATGTCTTTCTAAGAACATAATGATTAATATCCCACGTTATATTAATAACGAGTATTTTACGACATAGCTGACAGTAAGGAAATGACGACACATAAGGAAGATTCGTAGTAAAAAATATTCAATAAAAATTTAATATTGACTTGTATCTTAACAGATGGATACAATTTATCCAACACCAATACTTTTACTAATTTTTTACCAAACTTAAAAAAATTTGATAAAATTTATATTTTATTAAAAATTAATTTTGAACGGTATTAGCCATACAGTAAATTTAAGTAAAAGTCCATACGGGTTAAAGTCCAATATTGAAATAAATATTTTAATTACTATAATTATGAACTGATAA